GAAATCATTGTGACAAAAGGGTACATATGTAAATTGATTAGCCCCACGTGACTGTGAGTGTGAAGGATGCAAATGAAGCTTCGGTTTTGGTCATCAATGGCAAGGACAGCATCCAGTTCCCGGAGTTGGAGAGTGTCTTTTTAACTGCCCATGCATTGCATCTTCCCTGTTCGGACTTCGGCTCACGTCCCGTCCCATATTTACATGCATCGTCATAGTGATAATAGTGGCAGCCAGGCTTTAGAAATCCTTCGATGCAGATATCTTAAAAAACCTTTGTCACTATTGTTTCAGTTATATGAAAAGTTCTCTCTTTGAAGATTGTGTAAGAAATACAGTCTATTCCTACTAGAAATGTTTGTCTGTGTATTTTTTTGTCGTATTAGTGGCAAAATCCCGACTCAATATTTCATGTAACTCATTGTCTGCCCTTTTGTACAGATGGGATCTTAGTCTTACTCATCGGAAATAGTCTTTATTAGCTACGCCTACGCCTACTGGGAAGCATAATAATTTCCACTCGATCTGTTGTTCCAATTTGGAGGCATGATGAGAAAGCCACACGCATGAGTTAGGGACAACAAATAGTGGAAAAGAACATCAGAAATAAAGGATAGTTGAAGTTTCTGGCTATCAATTGGCCCTGTTTGTCAAGTGAGTTTTTTGGGTGTTTATCTAAAATTTTACTGTAATTTACTATAGAAATTTTTAAAAAAAATTTGAAATGTGTAAATTTTTGAATATTTTGAAGTGTATAGTTTAAAATTTTTGAAAAATTTTTTAAAGTTACTGTAGCTTAAATTTTTAAAAAACTTGTAGCAGATAAACTTGGAAAAAACCTCAAGTGCCAAATAGATGGCCCGATTTGGCACTTGAGTTTTTTGCATATGTATATGTTCTAACCTTGTTGGATTGTCATTTTTTCTCAAAAAATTTCTGCGTTTTTCATTTTTTTAGTCACTTTTATATCTAATACACATTAAATAGCTATAATATATTTTTCTAAAAAATTTCAAATAATAATAATCTATACGGGATATATAATAGAGTTATTAACGTTCATGCGTTGCATCCTAATAAATAATGGTTTATTTAATAGGTCCCTTATGGGTACTTGTTCAAATATATTTCAGATATTAGATTCTTAAAAATATAAGATTAATTAGGAAAAATATATAAATGCAAGAGAAAGTAGTAAATGTTGGTATATATATACATGATAGGTTGGGTGAAATATAGGTGTGTTAATGAGTGCCCAATAAATAAAGATATTTATATTAATGGTAGTAATAACTAACGTATCATGAATTCAATAGTATAATCATTTTTTTTTCTTAGGAACTTTGCAGCATAATCTGGTATACCTGCTACGAGTGCTAAGCTTAGATGGGTTATCGATTTAATTAGGAAAATTGCACCACAAGAGATGCATTAATTATCACATAGTAGATCCACCAAAATCCGGAAATGATGGACTTCATTCATTCCAGTTAAAAGGTAAGACAGTCATGGAATGAAATTAAGAAGCAACAATGAGTGTATTTTGATGGCAAATTATTTACACAAATTTATTTGCTTGCATTATAAAATGGTACAGTTTTTTTTAACCATCTTTTTATTCGCATACATCACATTAAAAAAAGTGTTACAGTATTTTTTTAAAAAAAATTCTCAAATAATCTCCTACTTAAACCATTATCTATTAACCCTTATCAAAAGACACACAAATTCTACTGAACAAAAACTACTTCCCTCCCGTTTTGTCAGCGTTTTTAAACTTCTCAAACCATCTTCTAATAGTCTCCATTCTTCTCCATTGAAACAACCTTTTCTCCCAAATGTTAATGCTGCTTCGTATGGTTCCTCTATACTAAGTGGTCATTGTTGCTCCCGCATGCATGACATGAAATTCATTCGGTAAATGTTTCTAATTCTTTAACCCAATCAAATCTTTTTCCTGGGTTTCCATGTTGTTGGCCGTTGCGAAGTTGTGGTCTTGAGATGGATTACTTTGAAACAGTTCTGCATTTGTTAGTTTATTGATTTTAACTTTACTGATTATCATGCTACCATGTTTCGTTGCATTATTTTCTTCTGGAGTTGGGGTTTATATATGGTCTGTTTTCCGATCCTACACCATGTAAGTAAAGCGCAGCATATCAACTTTGCATCACCTGGGGATAGCTACTTAAACATGATTACTCTGCCAGTTGGAGAAGGACCCGCAAGCAACACTTTGAATCTCCGGTGACGGCATGCTTTTCTAAAGAAAAAGGGTCAATTTTTCATATCTTAAGCGCCTTAGCCATGCATCTGTAGCCTATTGTTTTCTATACAACACTCGAAATTTGGCATTACATATATGGTAAGAGTAATCGTCTAGGAAAAAGTATTATTAGTACTTGCAAAATTTCCATTTAGTTTCTTCATGAACTTATCTTAGACTGTTTATCTTTTTTTTAAAAAAAAAAAAATGGAAAAAGAGTTTGGTGGCCAGAAAAAGTACATAAATTGCTTTGTTGAATACAAAGGAAAGTGTCCGTGTGTGTAGAAATTTGGTTATTAAGCGTAATATTTATGTAATCCTTTCAATTAAAAAGATTTTTTTGACAAGTTATACACGCATCGAGCGTGTCTCAATAGCTAGTCCCAATAATAAGAGGAAGAAAAAAACCTAAAAAAGACAAACACAAGAGTTACATGTACAAAGAGAGTAGTAATAGTAAATTACGACATTATTAAGTGATAAACACATATATGAAAATCTCTCAAATCAAAGAGGTGATTTATCCTTTAATTTATTTCTATCGTTTAAATCGTATGTCACTTAGTATAGGATTTTCCTTCCTACTATTTGTAGAAAATTTTAGGAAACACGTTTTTAAAAAGTTTTAAATATGCAAGCACACCTTCTGTTTTGAGTTTGAAAAAAATAAATGGGCAATTACATATTACATCAAATGATTTTATTTTCACTTTTATTTTTCATTTGTAGAAAGAAGAGAACCGGAAGAATCCAAAACATTGAAATGGAAATGGTATAATTCAATCATTCCTTAAATTATGTATCGCTATCCAAAATCTATTAGTACTATAACATTCATTTTGGATGAAAGGTTAGCATTATCGTTCCCCCTTTCGCTCTCACGTTCCGTTTGGATTAACTGTTTTTGGGAGTGTTTTTGAAAAATTTTACTATAACAGAGTGTTTAGAGTATATTTTGGGATATTTTTAGAAATTATTTTAGAATATTTAAGAGTAGAAGAGTTTCTAGAATATATTTTGAAATATTTTTTAAAAATTTTAAAAAAATTTAAACCAATTTTTAGATTATCTTTTAGACTACTTTTTAAAAATTTTTATGATATTTAAAAAACTAATTTTTGAAAAACACTCCCATCTCTAGAGGCAAAATTCAAAAGGATCATTTTGTACACTTTCAAAGAAACATATACAGAATATTAAGGTAAGAGATACGTGTAACAGGTTCACAAAAGAAAACGACAGAACCAAAGCCGAAAAAAAAAAAGAGAAAGAGAAGAAAAAGATGTCACAAATTACAGTAGTGTGTCCCAGATCCGGTCAGGGCCTGCTCCATCAGAAGAGTGTACCATGCCACGCTGGGTCACCATCATCTCCTCCAGGCCCCTCCCCCCAATTCCTAGCCCCTCCAAACTCGGCGGCCCTTTTTCTTTTTTTTGCATTTGGGGGCCTGCAAAATTTTTACTGCCAAAATCAAGGCGGGGCAAAATCTCTCCATTTTCCGTTGCTCACACGGTCTATTTCCGCATTTATTTCAGTAATCCATCCCGAAGGACGTTACTTAGACACAAGGCGGAGGATTGTAAATGGCAGGAAAATGAATGGCACAGCGTTACATTTTGGAAGTTTCATTTCCAATTCTTAACGTACTTGAAAGTTGCATTTTTGGCACTTGGACATTTATTACCTGGCTCAAAACGAAGAGAGTCACTTCAATTCTATTTTTTATGATATAAAATTTTGAAATTCTCATGTTTGGTAAAATAGACTAAGAAGTAAGAAGAATTTAGATGTGGACTTAATTGCAAGTTTTAAATGGTTCTGATTATTACAGGAATCAGCCACTGGCCATTTGGTCCAGTGGTCATCACCATTAAAGGTGATGCTGGAGGTCAGGGGTTCAATCCCTGCCTCCCACAAATTTGCCACAATTTGTGGCGGTCTTAATTGACCTTCATCGATGGAGTCTGTACTCACATCGAACCCCTCCCCTTCCCCTTAGATTAAGCTAGATTAGGTTATAGGACATCTATCGTTGCGACAAAAAAAAAAAAGATTATTACAGGAATCATCAGAAATTAAAAGTACACCTTTAGTTAGTTTTGATTTTCAAGGTCCTTTTTCTCTGATGAGGCGAGCAAAAAGTAAAATTTGGAAAGTAATCGAGAACAACAAAAATAAAACAATTTTTTTAAAATAAAAAACAAAATAAAGTATGTAAAAAAACATATGACAACATACTGTAACTCTAACTGTTTAAATTTCAATTAGATTTGGAGATGTTTGGTATACGTAAATAATGAGTGTTGAAATTTTATATGTCAGCAGGGATGAAAGTGTTAAAATTCGTCTCATATTAATTCTCCGATCATGATTTGGGTTTCAAATTTATTAATTCATTAGTGAAATAAAATTCATTCCAATTCTAAACCAAACTAGTAAATGGCAATGACAAAGAATTTATACCCGTAATAGGATTTAATTATTCCATAGCAATTTCGGTTCTTGAATGCCAACCAAACACCTCCAAATTCCAAATAGTTGGCTTTTTTAAAAACAAATTTTTATTACATCATCGACATATTTTACAATCACCTTTTATTTTTTCAATACTATTGAATACCATATTACATCACCAAAAAAAATGTCTCATCATTTGTTCTTTTGCTATTTGAGAAGAAAAGGAAAAATAAAATAAAGGACAAAGCATAAAGAAGAAAGGGTGAAATTAAAAGGAGCAGCAGGTGAGGCCGTTGATAACCTCCCAGCCTCCCCACTCTCACTGTAGAGAGAGAGAGAGAGAGAGAGAGCTAAAAAGAGCTGCAGAGAGAGAGAGAGAGCTAAAAAGAGATAGAGAGATCGATCTCGAGTCTCGACTAGTATAAAAACTCACTCGCTCGCTCAATCCTCCTCCTTCAAATCCTACACTTTCTCTCTCTACAGCCAACTCCGTCCCTTCCACTTCCTCAGGTTGGTAAATTCAGCTTTTATCTATGCAGTTTCTAATGTTCAGATGTAATTTAGCTTATATGGATGTTTATGCGTCTAGGTTTCCCTAGGTTCAGTATATGTCGATGCTAAGCTGGACCTAGATCGATATGTTTAGTTGATTTTCGTTTTTGTTGAATTTCTTTCTTTTTTTTAAAAAAAAATTTAATGCTGATGACATGCTTTACTTTGTTTTCGAGGTTCAGATTTGAGCTGGGTGAGGGTGTTATTGGGATCAGGTGCTGCAGGGTTTTGTAGGCCGCGGAATTCATTTCCAAAACTGGCAATGTCGGAGTGCAGTTAATGTGAATAGGTTAAATTTAATCCGGAATAATGCTTCGAACCCTTGAGCTATAATGTCTGTTGTCTTGGTTTTTCGCTAAATCCAAGGTTCTTGTTCGAGGTTTTTTCTTTTCTTTCTTCTTTTTTCTGACTGAATTTTGGTAGCAACATGGGGATGTTCTAGGTTTTCTGAAGAAATTGGAATTAGGGAGGAGTGGAAAGATTTGAGGTTGGACCCAAATCAATGGAAGATTGGTCTAAATATGCCCATAGTCCTGCTCATTTGGCTGTTGCTAAACGAGACCATGCTGGGCTAAGAAAGATCGTGGGGGCTCTTCCACACTTGGCGAAAGCGGGGGAGGTAAATACTGAAGCTGAGTCTTTGGCTGCTGAGCTTAATGCCGATGCAGTCTCAGCTGTTGTAGATAGGCGGGATGTTCCAGGGCGTGAGACCCCTTTGCACCTCGCTGTTAGGCTGAGGGATCCCATTTCTGCTGAGATTTTGATGGCGGCCGGTGCTGATTGGAGTCTTCAAAATGAGAATGGGTGGAGCGCGCTTCAAGAGGCTGTTTGTACTAGGGAAGAGAATATTGCTATGATAATTGCCAGACATTACCAACCTCTTGCTTGGGCAAAATGGTGCCGTAGGCTTCCTAGGATTGTGGCTTCAGCAGGCAGGATAAGGGATTTTTACATGGAGATAACCTTTCATTTTGAGAGCTCAGTCATACCATTTATCGGTAGAATTGCCCCTTCAGACACTTACAGGATTTGGAAACGGGGTGCTAATCTCCGTGCTGATATGACCCTTGCAGGATTTGATGGCTTTCGCATTCAACGCTCTGATCAAACTTTTCTTTTTCTGGGAGAGGGATATTCATCAGAAGATGGCAAAATATCTTTGCCTCCTGGTTCACTGATTGTGCTTGCTCATAAGGAGAAGGAGATTACAAATGCTTTGGAAGGAGCTGGTGTGCAACCAACAGAAGCTGAAGTTGCGCATGAAGTGGCCTTGATGTCTCAAACGAACATGTATAGGCCAGGAATTGATGTTACTCAAGCTGAGCTTGTTCCCCATTTGAACTGGAGGCGACAGGAGAGGAGCGAGATGGTTGGACCCTGGAAAGCCAAGGTCTATGATATGCTACACGTGATGGTCAGCGTGAAGTCAAGAAGAGTTCCTGGAGCCATGACTGATGAGGAGCTTTTCTCAGTGAATGATGATGAGAGGGTCGCCAACGGTGGCGAACATGATGAGTATGATGACGTATTAACAGCTGAGGAAAGAAAGCAATTAGATTCTGCACTTCGCATGGGGAATCCAGAGGGGCCTTGTGAGGAAGAGGAAACTGAAGTTCAGGATTTGCATGAAAACAGCGATGGTGGTTCCTTTGAAAATTGTGATCCCAATGGTGTTACCAAAGAAAAGAAAAGCTGGTTTGGCTGGAACAAGAAAGGCGGAAAGAACACCGGAGATGACCCTGAAGATTCAAAGATAGTTAAGAAATTCTCGAAGTTGGCTCCTGAAGATAGCAAGCTGAGACCCAATGAGAGTCATAGATCAACATCTGAATTTCCAAGGGAGGATGCTGGCGAAATTAAGAAGAGCAAGGATAAAAGCAATAAAAAGAAGAAGAAGAAAGGTGCTGCTAGTGAGTCTAAGAATGAAAGCGAATACAAAAAAGGTTTAAGGCCCGTTCTGTGGTTGACACCAGATTTCCCTTTGAAAACAGAAGAACTCTTGCCCCTGTTGGATATATTGGCCAATAAGGTGAAAGCAATCAGAAGATTGAGGGAGCTATTGACTACTAAATTACCTACTGGCACATTTCCTGCTAAGGTATTAGTAGTGATTGTGCTATAAATTGCACACTAGCTTCCATTTCTTTTCTTTGGAAGGGCTTTTGGCTGTCACTTACAAACATCTTGTTCCTATGTGCTTGAATTCTTTTCCTTTTTTTTTTGTCTTTCATCAACAAAGTATGTTTCTTCATGCGTTTCCTCAACATTCACCTTTTTGTTGCATGTAAATCTGACATATGACCAGTTATCAATTTGCATGCATGTTCTTTCCCTTGATGAGTGCATGTGGGAGTCAAATTCTAAAGGGCTCTGAATCTAGTGGAAAGTACTCTTTTTGGCTGCATGGTTGAGTAGTGAAATAAATACATCTGCTGAATTGTTTTAGTTCTTCACTAAATAACTTTCTGATTTGGCAGACATGAGTGTGTGGGTTGCATGTCAAGTGCAATGTTGTAATCATTCTTCAAAAGTGAGTTTAAAAGATGCATGGTCAATCTCTCTAGGTCCTATCTGTTAGGCATAAATATGACCGATAAAAATGAGAAATTTATGCTCTTGTCTTGTCTGATTGTGGACTATCATGTCCCATTTGCAAACTTTGGTCTTTCTTATAGATTCATTTCTTCATCCTGCCGAATTGGCACTTTTTGGTTGCAAATATGGTTCTTTTGATAACATTTTCAGAATTTTGTGAGCTGTGCCTGTGCTTGGTTGTGGAGTAAATGCAAATAAACAAGGAAATGTTGGGAAGAACCATAATATAAACATGACAGAATGACGTTCTTATCTTATAAAAGCTTGATGGATCATCACAACTGTTGACAAGTTGATCCCCTCATTGGGGATCCTCTTCATTGCCCTGCCAAATGATTGTAAAGTTACTTCTGTTGTTGGGATCTATGTTCCAAAGCTGTCCTAAATCAGTAGTTACTGCTATATCACTCAATGTGAGTGAGTGTTGTCAAGAAAAATTGTTGGACACTGTTGCAGGTTTGGGTGGTGCTTATTAGGAAGAATCTTCAGCTAGCTGTCTTTTTATTCAGGGGGATGTTTATCACCTACCCTTAATTACATCCTGGTGTTGCCTACTCCCCCACACCCCCACCCCCACCCCAAATAAAAGAAAAAAAATCCCCCACTAGAGAGTTCCGGTATAAGTGAAAGAATGCTGACATACTCACAACTTAAGAGTCGCTTGAGAGGAAAATAATAGTACTGCAAGGTTCTGATGATCTTTGAACTTGTAATGCTAAGGATTAAGTTTTGGGCATCCTGAAAGAAGGGAATTCAAGAATGTTATTCAGTTGTATGATTTTATCATTAGCTTAGTCTAAAGGCGTGTTTTTATTAAATTTGCTGATCATAGCTTTCTCAATGCTGAATGCCATTTAGAAGGATTTCCCTTTGCATTAATTTGTGCTTTTGCCTATTAGCTTATTTTGAGCTTAAAAGCTGAATCTGAAAAGGAGACCTTGAGCTGCTTCTGAAAACGGCTTTTGACTTTACAATATTTTGAAAAAATGACATCTTTTCAATGTTTTGAACAGCTTTTTCAAAACCAAACAGGCACTTAATGAGTCTTGACGAGACGGTTTTGCTAGGGACTAGGATTGCCATTAATATTTGCATGCTTTCCGATGTCTATTAGTTCTTAGGCTTCCTAAGGAGGCAAACTATTGCGGTGGAAGGCAACAAATATAGAACGCTGAAAGCATGTTTACTTGGGTACAGGGGCTGCAGGACTGTTTTATGTTGCTTTGATGTTTCCCTGATTTGTAGAAACTGAAGCTATGCATTATCCTATACAATTAACTTCTGGTTGGCAGTTATTTTGTTATTCTGGAGCTAGGAAGTTAGAAAATTGGTTTCAGGAATTTGCATCAGAAGTTGTCAGGGTAAACTTGCATTTTCATCATATAACTTATAAGCTAGCATTTCATAATTAATACATCTTATTATGTTGAAATGAAATTTCTAATGCTTCAGAACATAATTGTTGATTGCAGTATTGAAGTTTGTGTTGATTTCATTTAGGATCAAAGTTGTAATTATGTGTTTAGTTTCTTTCTATGAAAGAGCGTATGGATTGATTTTTGATTCCTCTTTAGCCAATTTTTATTTGCCTAATCTTTTGGTGCTTCATTCTCCATATTTAGTAGTATTTGCGTGGTTTTGAAACGATCTTACAAATCTATCCTGGATGCGGCTGTTTTCTCGTTCATTGTATATGTAGCATACCATCTTGAATGGTTTAATTGTCACTCCGTGATTAATAGGTTCCATGCTGCAGGTTGCCATTCCAATAGTACCAACCATCAGGGTCCTTGTTACGTTCACGAAGTTTGAGGAGCTTCAGCCAACAGAGGAGTTCTGCACCCCTCCTTCCAGCCCTGTGCATTTCCATGATGCTAAGTCTGAGGTGTCTTCCTCGTGGCTTTCATGGATGACAGGTAGCCGTGGTGGTCAATCAAGTGACAGTGAAAGCCGAAGCTTCCGGGAGGAGATTGACCCTTTCCACATACCACCTGACTATGCTTGGGTTGATGCTAATGAGAAAAAACGCCGAATGAAAGCCAAGAAAGCAAAGAGCAAGAAACACAAAAAGCACGTTGCTAGCAGAAATCCAGAGACTGGACGTCATTCAAGTGAGGATATTTGAGTAAAATATGAAAAAAGCAGTCCTAATGCTCTGGTGTTTCAGGATGCTTAACAACAAAGGAGGCAAGGCTCAGTCCTTGAGAGCCCAGCCATCTCCATGCGGGGAGAGTTTCTGGGAGTGTCACATGATTGCTTCTTTGTTGTAATATGTTCTTTAGCTGTTGTATTGTTGTTTGAAGTGAAAATCAGAATCCTATTGCTTATTCCTTTGATAATCCTAAACTGCTTCAAGTGTATCTACACCCGTGATTATTAAGTTTTGTTTCAGATTCTAATTCTTTGGATAGTTGAAACTACCTCAAGCGGAAGGATTTTCTTTAGGAAAAAATGGATTCTTTTTTAGCTTTTGCTGTTATCTGTGGACAGAAAAGTCAAAAGTTACTCTGACCTCTATCAGAAACGAAGGGTCCAATTATGTATTTCAATAAAAAAAATTGAGGTTCCTACAATCACGGTTGTGATTGTGGGGATTAGTTCATGGTGGGAGATGAACACATTCAAAATGGGTAGTTGGGATTGAGATTTGGATATAAATTTCAACATGTGATAAATTTTGTTGTGTTTTTGACCTTTTACATGATTTTCTGCTAAGAGTCTACGTTTGTTGTTCCAGTGGCTCCATTGCATTGCAATTGCCAGTAAACACTTCTGGGGAAATGAAATGAAACAAAAGCATGAAGTTGCAGCCATTTCATGTTTGTGCCTGGTTAAGTTTCAACTGCTTTTGCCCCAAAGGACCAGATGCTTTTATTTTTATTCTTTGGGTGAGAGATACGGGTATGACAAAAGTCAAAGCTCATCAGCGGCGAAGCATACCTAAGGGGACTCAAAAAAGGTTTATGATGATAAACTCGTGCCAACAGAAAGGCATGATTGCGGTCATGATTGCCATTTGACATTAATATTGATTGAAACCAGAAAAAATATCTTTGCCACGCAAGATTTCCAAATTTCTTTTTTTTTTTTTTTTTTGTCGCAACGATAACAGTTGTATAACCTACTCTAATCTAGTCTAAGTGGAGGGGGAGTCGACAGGAAACCCGTCGAAGGAAGCCACCCGAAGGTGGCAGCTGACACCTATAATTAAGTGACAAGTTTGATGAAAGGCAAGGATTGAACCCTTGACCTCTCAAGAGGTCAAGAGGGAGAGACTATTGGCCCAAATTTCCTTAGTTATTATGTGATTGAAATCAGGCTGATACTGCTCCAAGTAAAGCTCGTATTTAGCGCCTGGGAAATAAGCTGCACACTAGAAAGTGTTTCCGTCTTTCTGATGATAGCACAGAAAGCAATAACAGAGTGGATAGAATATGATCAGGCAAATGAGGAAAAGGAAGTAAATATGTAAGCTGGAACAGCAGCAGACTGTGAGGACAAGGTACAAAAGTCTCCACCAGAGGGAATTATGAAGATTAACACTGCCACAGAGAGCAGAACTGGTATTGGAGCTGTCTGCAGAAGCTGGAGAGGAAAAATAGCTGCTGTAAGGGCGTTGGTTGATTCAAGGACTAGAAGTGGAGAAATAGAAGCTGCGACAGCAATCAAGCTGAGCATTATCAAAGTTGTAGAGGAGAAATGGGAAAAAGTAATACTGAAAACTGACTGCAAGAGAAACCTTGACAAACTGCAACAGGAAGACTGTATTGATGTTGATCTAGCAATCATACTTGAGGACATTCTAGCAACTAAAGGGTCCTTTAAGAAAGCAGTATTCTCTTACATAAACCAAAAATTAGTCTTAGTACTACAATTGCAAAGTTTGCAATGGACCTTAAGAAAGATGTAATGTGAAAGGAGTCCTCCCCCCCTGTGGGTTATGAGTTTAGCACAGGAAGCATATGGAGAGTTGTACAATAGTTTGGCTGGTACTAAGACTAATAGTTTGGCTGGTACTAAGAACCAGTTGGCTGGTATATTGTAAATGTCCTGTACGTGTTCTAATTAATACTAATATTGCGTTTTGAGAAAAAAAGTTTTTATGATGTGATTATCTACAAAAGCAACATACCGGCAGGATCAGTTTCCATGCATCTATTGTTAAAACTTACAAGTACCTATGCCAAATTCCAGAGAACTACAAGGAACCAAGGCTACATTATTAAGGCGTAAAAAGAAAAACAGCTGAAAAGCAACAGCAAACCACAGCGACACATGGTTCGCAGTATCAGCCGATACGTATCGACTGAGTCGTAATTGGAACGGAGGGGACTAGTATAATACCGATCCCCAAATCGCAGATATTACCATATCCGCGACGATTCACTTTGACTCGGCTGATATTGGCCGATTCGAATCCGTGTTACATGATATCGGTCGATATATCCGAGTCAACTCGGAGTCGATTCAGATTTTTTTAAAATTGTGCCTTTTTTGGTATTTTCTAATTTTAGTAATTTTTTTCAAAATTTTTGGAAACCTTCATATGCTATAATGTGCATACCACTCGATATTCAACCGATATACCGCGATAGATGTGGAACAACCGACACCGCACTGCGACCGTGACCCGCTATGACGAACCATGCTGCCACATACTCTAATACAAGGAACCTTCCCTAGATTCCATCTGCAACAAAATCAGGACTCAGACACACATCAACAACACAGGCCTACTGCTAAGCAGCCACAAGTGCACCCCGAGCACCATTGAATGTATAGTGAATTGTACATCTTCCGGAACACTTCTCTCACCTTCCTCGCTGGATGAAGCATTCCCTCAATCCTTCAATGGCTTCCACAACAGCATTAATCACGTGATGATGTCTCAAAAATATCTGGCCACACATAATTCATTAAATGAATCAAAGCAACCTGACGCCCAAGTCCGGCAACTCCTAAAGCCATGTGCCTTATCGCTGAAGCAACAGTTTGTCGGTGGACCAAGACTCTATTCCTGGCAGGAACAAACTCGACTCCGAAGTCAGCTATTCGACCAAGAAGATCAATGCAGTTCTCCTGTGCCTTCTCATAATGATTTTTCAAAATTGAAGTCAAGTGGGGAAGTAAATCCTTGATTGGAGGAGTCATTCTAGTCACGCCAACGACATTAACAATCGCTTTCACAGCACCCAATGTTGACCCCAAAACTTCTGCTTACCCTTCTCCCAAACACCGGTACCAAAAAACACCAGCTTTGTTATGTGAAAGCCATGAAATAGATAAAGGGCTAATATCATATGCAGCAATCAAGTGGTCCAAGAAGCCGAGATTGCAGATCCCAATTGTCATTCCAGAAACTAAAGCTCGCTCTCACTTCTTTGTTATGTTCTTTTACTTCATCCTTTCTAGATGTAGACAAATTTGTGGCTGATGTGTTTGTCAATTCTTTATATAGACCTGCTTAAATATTTCAAGAAATTTCTTACATGGAGACAACAATAGATAGAAAAAGGTCCCTGCACAAAGCAATTTGTCATTTGAAAAAAACAAAAAGCGCTGAAGAAAATAAATATCCAATGAAGCAAGAATATTTACTCTTTTTTTTTGAGGTCTTTTGAGAAGTGCTTCGGGTCATATGCAGATGTGAATATACATGATAATGTACAATAACGCAAAACTTATATGTACATGATACTTACAGTAGGATGCCAAAATACAATTACACAAATTTGCATGTCGATCACAATAAAACGGAAGCAGTAAATGGCCAAGTGAAATCCAATCCTGGGAATACATGTCACCCAGTCACTGCAGTAGATTTTCATATTGCACTTGGATTTTAGGAGAGTATGCAGGGGAAATGCCAAGTGCCATGCTGCGGTTCTTGCTCACCAATTGTTGCACATTCCAAGTTATTCTGAAGCAACCAAAAACTTGACAAGCTTCTACCAGTATCTGTCCTTGTTCACACTCAAGTATCCTGACATGACTTTTCCTCCCGTATTCCTCATGCCATCTATGAGAAAGCACCATGTGGAACCTAATGCTCCTATGAAGAAGTCAGCTTCAGAAGCCATCAAAAAATTAACCAGGGGATAGTTGGTGCTTGTTTCCCTGCCAAGGCTGGCTTCATAAGTTGCCATCAAAGTGTTCCCTTCTTGTCGCGTCACGTTTGTGTAGTAGAATCTCCAATGAGGGCACGATTTTGATTTGTCAATGACTTCCTGAGAGTAAATATTGCTGTGAGAATGATAAAGAAAGAAAGCTTGCACAGTCCCCTTTCTTTATATTGACAATCCAAAGAGACATGGAAGGCTCAAGATGTTCAGTACCTGCATCTCAGTGGAAAGCCAGATGCTGTTAAGATGAGGGAAGCGCTTTTTGATTCTTTCAGCTAGATGCATGTATTCCTGGAATCCAACCACCTTCATTTCACATGCTTTATCACCCATTCTCACATGCATGCTTAGCAAAGGCTTAGGAATCCATGGTTTGTGATTCGACCATACAAACTTTTCTATGTCATGTCTGTCCTTTTCTACAGCATCCTGCTAAAGAGATTAGGTTGTAAGATACAACGTAATCTAGCAATTAATCATGAGCTTTTTGTTATGCAACTGTTTTTGTACCTTTCCTGTACAAAAGTAGTAGTGTTTTTGCATCCCTAGACATATAGATTTATTCATTTTTATGAAGTACTCCGTCAAATTATCCAGTAAATGCTACTTGTACAGATATAATTCCTACTCTTTGCGGATTTCAAAATTTTAATCACTAAAATTGACAAACCTCTTCCACATCTGAATTCATGTTTGAGAGAACCATTTTCGCTGCTTCCCATCCGAATGCTTCATGGCGTGCAGTATTCATCAAGTTGCATGTGTACTCAGACTGAAACCTCATCAAATAGCGCACTGCCTGACAAATTTCAAGAACAGAAAGTTTAATAAGCTTTGAAGTTTGGTTCTACAGAGAAATTGATAGCTCAAGAGATGCAAACTGACAATCAGGCAGACAAATTTGAATTCCTCTTTCTGCCTGATAAAGATTAACAAAACTCAAGGAGTTCCTACTTCAAACAGGACGATCTCTCACCCATTAATAACAAGCTATTTTTCTACTCTATCATCCTCATACATAATGAGAATATTTATAAAGATGTTGTCATCTTCCTTCCAATTAGTTAAAGCTCTTATTGGTATATGTCATCCACAGGGTGGTTAAAACACTTAATTGGCATATATGGCTTCATGGCAAAATATTATAAGTTCTGTTTCTGTAGCTTTTGTTTTCTCTAGGGCCTTCTTGTTTTGAGACATTATGGCTTCCAAACCTTCGATCTTTCTCAACAATGACTTTTCTCATAAGATATACCTGAGCACGCCACCATCTTCGATCCATTTTATGATGATAAG